TGTTTTACTTACCGATAGAAGAGTGTGTTATTCTGTATACTAAGTCAGTGTTTTACTTACCGATAGAAGAATGTGTTATTCTGTATACTCCCTTAGTCAGTGTTTTACTTACCGATAGAAGAGTGTGTTATTCTGTATACTCCCTTAGTCAGTGCAGAATAACACACTCTTCTATCGGTAAGTAAAACTATACTCCCTTAGTCAGGACGAAACTCAAGTTTATTGTCCCTGCATATTGAAAGTATTAAGCGCGTGTATAGCGAGATATTTGAAAAGTATGATATCAAGTGAATGTTCTGAGAAACAGGTATGAACGAAATCAAACAATTACCTTTAAAAAGGCATTCTTAATGTGACAACCGAGATATAAGTAGTTATACAACATGTGTTCTGTATGTATCATACAATAAGTAACAACCGAGATATAAATATATAAGATATAAGTAGTTAAACAAAATGTGTTTCTGTATGTATCATACAATAAGTAACAACCAAGATATAAGTAGTTATACAACATGTGTTCCTGTATGTATCATACGTCTGTATGTATCAAATTAAGTCTGTATTCGTATAAAAAGAACACAGAACAGCAGATTAAGAAGATAATGTAAAGTTTACATTTTTACTGCTAATGTTTCTGTAGATTAAAACCACGAGAGAAATTTGACGTATTATTTTATATAGTTCCTTTTTTAAAGTTAATAACTGTTAACAAATTCTGATTGGTATGAGATTAAACTTAGGCTTACCGTCCTATCTCCGAGATTTTTCACAATGCAGTGAAGATAAACAGTTTGTCCTTGCTGTGCAGTGACATTTTTTTGTTTTTCATAGAAATGAGGATGAAAGCTATCGGCTATAGATATTTCCAGTTCTTCAGTTGTGGCCCATTTTTTCCATGACTCAAACTGCCAGACTATGCTGCCTTCTGTTGATCGTTCTGTACGAAGGATAATAAATTTATTTATTCAACTAAAACTAAACATTAAATCATTTCATACTATCCGCTGCGGGATTCTAAGGTTCCCTTATGATTCACAGAGGCCTCAATGTGCCAGTCAAACGTCTCCATTATTTTAATTACTTATATAGCTACACCACTCCACCAATTATTTAATTGATTTGTCTGTTCCCATTTCCCGAACTTAATTCTTTTTAAAAAGCAAATAGTTTTAATTTAACTTCTAGGATTCATTTTTTTTCTGTGTTACTATTTGAATTATTTCATTATCCGAATTCTTTGATTTATATTTTTCTTCCCGTAGTTTGTTCCCGTTTCCCAAGCTTAATTCAGTTCACATTTCGGAGTTTGTATTTTTCTTCCAAATTTTTCATGCACCAGTATTCTTTAACTATCTTGTTTGATGCCATTTCCCAAACTTACAAATTATTAAAGTCTTACTTTTTGAAGGAAATATTTTCATTTATGTCTGAACTCACATTGCACAATCATCAATATTTTTCCACTTTGTTTTGTTTACAGCCTTTACCCAAATTTAACTGAAGGTTTTGAAAACAATAATATTCAATTTAACTTTTACATTATATTATTATCTTATTTTCTCTTTTCCACTATCGGCCCGGCATGGCCAGGTGGTTAGGGCACTCGACTCGCAATCTGAGGGTCGCGGGTTCGAATCCCCATCCCACCAAACATGCTCGCCGTGGGGGCGTTATAATGTGACGGTAAAAGAGTAGTTGGTAAAAGAGTAGCCCAAGAGTTGGCGGTGGGTGGTGATGACTAGCTGCCTTCCCTCTAGTCTTGCCGTTGAGAGAAATGTAAGAGCTAGCGTCCTAAGTTTGACTTACCATTGAGAAAAATGTAAGAGATAGCGATCTAAGATTGGCTTGCCGTTGAGAGAAATGTAAGAGCTAGCGTCCTAAGTTTGACTTGCCGTTGAGAAAAATGTAAGAGCAAGCTACCTAAGTTTGACTTGCCGTTGAGAGAAAAGTAGGAGATAGCGATCTAAGTTTGACTTGCCGTTGAGAGAAATGTAAGAGCTAGCGTCCTAAGTTTGACTTGCCGTTGAGAAAAATGTAAGAAATAGCGATCTAAGTTTGACTTGCTGTTGAGAGAAAAGTAAGAGATAGCGATCTAAGTTTGACTTAGTATTGAGAGAAACGTAAGAGATAGCGATCTAAGTTTGACTTGCCGTTGAGAGAAACGTAAGAGATAGCGATCTAAGTTTGACTTGCCGTTAAGAGAAACGTAAGAGATAGCGATCTAAGTTTGACTTGCCGTTGAGAGAAATGTCAGAGCTAGCGACCTAAGTTGGACTCACTGTTGAGAGAAATGTAAGAGCTAGCGTCCTAAATTTGGCTCACTGTTGAGAGAAATGTAAGAGCTAGCGTCCTAAATTTGGCTCACTGTTGAGAGAAATGTAAGAGCTAGCGTACTAAATTTGGCTTA